GTGATTCGCACAGGAACCACACCGCACTCCTGTGCAAATCACATGCGATTTGTGTGCGGTGCGATTGGAGCCATACATTTTGGTGCAGGACCCTTTTTTGGGTCTACATTAGAATTGGATCGCATGGGTTTTTACACCTATGCGATCCAATTCTGCACATCGCACCGCATTTTGTGGACCGCTTTCGGGGTGTTGTTAACTTAACTTACACACCTGCAGCAGTTCGCATGAATGGGGTGCAATTCTGATGCGGTGCGGAATTCACAGAGAAAACGCTGTGAATTCTGCACCGCATCAGTGTGAACCAGGGCTTACTGTCACTCTTGCACAGTTATACAGGCTACTCTCCTGTAATTTTTTCACTGCACACTGTGAGCTTCTCGCACTGCATTAGAAGCAAGAGCAAGCCAGACAGCATGTCAGATAGAGCCTACCTCATTTCCTGGCTGGAGGACACCCAGGATCATCTAGTTCTTCCCTTTCCAGTTTTACTGTCCCTTGCCCACCCTTTTCATATATATCGGATTTCAGTTCTTTTAGCTCTGGAGTGTCATAATTACATGTCGGTGTTACCTGGGGCAGTTTATGCACAAATGCAATCTGCGTAGCAGCCCACTGCTTGTATCAGAGCCGAGGGCTCTTGAAAGAAGTACTGAGGCAAGGTACTGTGATGTTTTTAGAAAGCTATGTACATTGCATAGAGCCATAGACAATCAACTCAGGACAACTGGATCAAAAATAAGATAGTAATGAAAATAGGTTCAATTTAAAAATGTCATTAGCATATGGATGAGGGGTAAAAGGAGGAACCAGGGAAGGCAAAATATAAGCAGATTAATAATCAGCTCTAAACATTTACAATCACTTTTATACAGTAATACGCAAGGAGTGGCATTACTCAAAGAACTGACTGACTCATAGATTTACAGTGTAAGAAGGAGCAGTAAAGCACAGCTATTGTGTAAAACTGCAAAGCATTAAGCAGTGTCTATGCTCGTAACTGGCATATTTGTCTGATTCCGTGTGCGGTACGTATCAAATTACAAATTGTATGTTTTAGAAAGAAGGTTTCTATGACATTAAAACATAATAATAAGATTATTTTTCATTAAGCTGATTTATTTTACAGGTATAACTCGAAAAAGGAAAATCACGCTGAAAGGATCCATTGATAACAGCAGATGGCAATACCAATTTGACCTATTTATTAAAAGTACTAAACACTCACATACTGTAGATAAATAGATAAAGTGCTTATAATAAAAAACTCCAGTCCTGGGATGCCAGCCAAACACTGCCTGATCGGGATGAACGTGGCGACGCCACAAGTAATGGCTCCGCCCTCCATGCCCCGATGACATCAGTTATGACAAAACATGTAGGGTGGAGCCATCGCTTCTGACGTCTCCATGTTCATCCTGACCAGGCAGTGTTTGGATTGTAGTTTTGACTGGAGTTTTTTTTTTACGATAAGCACTTTATCTATTTATGTATGTGAGCTGATAGTACTTTTAATAAATAGTATTTTAAGCTATGTGGTTGTCCTTGGCTCTTTTTCCATGTGCCTGTGAGATGTTCTCTCTCGCTGGATGAGATGCTGTGGATACTAACCATGCTGATATAAAGTCTATGGGCACTCTCTAGATTAGTCTATGCAGCGCAATAATACAAGAGCATGTGAATCTTTTTTAAGAGTCCACTCACTTTGATAAGCGTTCTGTTTGTACCTAAGGTGGTGGCACTACACTGATGTTTGGAATTTGTGGAGGAAAGTCACCATTCCCTGAATTCAACTTTCACATATATCACTTTGGGAATTTTATGATTTTTTTTATATGGACTTTATGTTTTTATTGATTCATTTTGATTTATGTGTGATGTAAATGTTATCTATATTAGCAAGACAATTTTTTCTGTTTAATGTAAAGCAAATAATCATTAATACTCTAAATTCCCTTTAGTCTTTGTATAGGGTCAGTGGTTAATGTTTTCCACAAAGGCTGCATCCATGTTGGCAGCATCGTTACCCTCATGTGCAGTTGGTACTGCAGATACACTATATTACCAAAACTATTGGGATGCCTGCCTTTACCCACACATGAACTTTAATGGCATCCCAGTCTTAGTTCGCAGGGTTCAATATTGAGTTGGCCCCCACCCTTTGCAGCTATAACAGCTTCAACTCTTCTGGAAAGGCTGTCCACAAGGTTTAGGAGTGTGTCTATGGAGGTGTTTGACCTTTCTTCCAGAAGTGCATTTTTTGTGAGGTCAGGCAACAATGTCAGATGAGAAGACCTGGCTTGCAGTTTCCGCTCTAATTCATCCCAAAGGTGTTTTGTCGGATTAAGGTGAGGACTCCACCCCAAACTCGCTCATTCATGTCTTTATGGACCTTGCTTTGTGCACTGGTGCGCAGTTATGTTGGAACAGGAAGAGGCCATCCCCATACTGTTCCCACAAAGTTGGGAGCCTGAAATTGTCCAAAATGTCTTAGTATGCTGATGCCTTAAGTGTTCACTTCACTGAAACTAAGGGGCCAGGCCAGGCCCAACCCCTTCAAATCAACCCCACACCATAATCCCCCCTCCACAAAACTTTACACTTGGCAGAATGCAGTCAGGCAAGTACCGTTCTCCTGGCAACAGTCAAATCCAGACACATCCATGGGAACAGAGAACCATGATTGGTCACTCCAGAGAACATATCTCCACTGCTCTAGAGTCCATTGGCAGAGCAATTTACACCACTGCATCTGACACTTTACATTGTACTTGGTGAAGTAAGGCTTGAATGCAGCTACTTGGCCATGGAAACTATGCTCTCTGCACACTGTTGTTGTGCTAATCTGAAGGCCACATGAAGTTTGGGGTCTTTGGCTATTGACTCTGCAGACAGTTGGGGACTTCTGTACACTGTGCGCTTCAGCATGCGCTGACCCCGCTCTGTCATTTTATGTGGCCTACCACTTCATGGCTGAGTTGCTGTTGTTCCCAGTTGCTTCCACTTTGTTATAATACCCCTAATTGTTGACCATGGAATATTTAGTAGCAAGGAAATTTTACAGATGGGCTTATTGCACAGATGGCAATCTATCAGGGTACCACGCTTAAATTCACTGAGCTCCTGAGAGTGATCCATTTTTTCACAAATGTTAGTAGAAGTAGTCTGCATGCTTAGATGCTTGATTTTATACACCTGTGGCCATGGAGGTGATTGGAACACCTGAATCCAATGATTTGGAGGGCTGGCCCAATACTTTTGGCAATATAGTGTATATCTGAATAGAGAAAACGCAGTTCCATAGTTTAACTAGTGCTTCGCTGTCTGCCTCTCTGCTGGTACTGGAGTCATTGATTGTTCTTCTATACCTGCAAAAAAAGAGATTTTACTTTAGACGGATGTTTTAGAAAACATACGAAACATTGAAAAACAATAAAACTATATCTATATCTATATATACTATATATATAATGTATGTGTATACTGCTCAAAAAAAATTAAAGGATCGCATTTTAATCAGAGTATAGCATCAAGTCAATTAAACTCCTGGGATACTGATCTGGTCAGTTAAGTAGCAGAGGGGGTTGTTATTCAGTTTCAGTTGCTTTGGTGTTAATGAAATTAACAGGTGCACTAGACGGGCAACAATGAGATGACCCCCAAAACAGGAATGGTTTTACAGGTGGAGGCCACTGACATTTTGTTTCCTACTCATCTTTTCAACAAAGCACAGAGCACATGCAGCCTAGAACAGTGGACACCTATTTTGAGGCCTGACCACAGCCACAGATCTTCCACACATGTACAACCATGGGTTTCTAATTATTACAGAGTCTTACCTTACACCCATAAAAAGTTCAATACATGTAAACACTCAAAGATATTTTTGGTTTCATGTGCACCTTGTTCAAACATTAACAGCTACAGTGTTGTTGAGGCTCCTCTTTTTCAATAGTTGTGGTACATACAAACCTACATTGGTCCAGCTGTGGACCAGCTTTGGTAAAAAATTGCCATACCCAGAATTCAGTTGTGGGTTAATGATAAAAAAAATTACCTGATGCTCATGTGCTTCAATCTTACCTCTTTAGACAGGACACACATATAATATATATCCATAGGCCAACCTATCATAAAAACCTAACTGAAAAGGTTGAATATACCTGTATCAGATTGTGAACTTTCATATAATGTGACATTTCCAGAATCAGAACTGTTGTTCTTCATCACAGGCATCCGGTTGGCTTCCTACGTCACTCTTTTCAGTCACGTTGTCAGATGTAATGTCTTGAGATGTACTTTGATCTTCTAATAAAAAATGTGTTATTTGTGTTCTGTGCTCCTGAGTCAGAATCCTGTGCATTATATTCCTTGCTTTCAGGGTCAGACACTATTGCTTTTGTGGATTGATCCTGCATCTTATCAGACGATTCATTTTGTGTTATATTCCCCAAGCACCCTTGGATATTGTCCATGGGAGTCTTTCCTGCAGAATTCTCTACATTCTCCATCATCACTTTGCCTGATTGTTGTTGGATTGTGACACTCTCTGTACAAACGTCTGATAAGTGCTCTTTATAGACTACCTCTGCATTGTCTTGAGTCACATTTTTTAAATCGTATGTAATTCTGGATTCTCCATCTCTTGTGTTTTCAGAGTCCACCTGGCTTGTATTGCCTGCTCCTGTGCATGCTTGTTCATCTGTGATCATCTCAGTACTGTGTTCCGAGACTCTTGATGCAATGTCTGTTGTTTCCCTTTGTGTTGGAATATCATTGTTTCCTTGTATTATGCTTTCTGACTTCTTATCTACAGCCTCAGGATGATGCCTTGAAGATGTTTCACTGACATTCTGATCTATGTTGTCTCTACTACTTTCTTCCAAATTGCTTTCTATTGTGTTTTCCACATCCTTGGTTTCTGTTGACTCTAGTGAATATTTCTGTTTTGTGCTTTCCATAATCTCCATTGCAGATCCTTTGGGTTGTTTGTCATGTTCTTCATCAGGAAGATCTTGAGATGGGTCAGTTTGCACTTCCTCAGTTGAAGCACACGAGGTGCCATCTGTGGAGGAATCCTGGGTGTCACTTGTCATAGAAGACTGGGAGCCATTCTTGCTCTTCTCCTTTCCTGGTGGGGAAATACTCACTCCAGGGTCTATTGAAGCCATAAAAAAGGAATTTGTAGAACTTATAGGAGATGAGATCATCAGAGAATTCCTTTTACTGAAAGTGAGAATTGAATACTGAAATTAGATTACATAGATAGCAAATAACATTTTAATTACAAATAACTGGTGAAGTATCTCAAAAATGAATTTCAGGTATTTTTTTTTATATTCTTAAAGGAAACCTTTTATGGGAAAAATACACGGTATGCCAAAATTTTAGTTACTTACCTGTCTGTGGATTTAATACTTTGAGTCACTAACCTGGAATATACAGTGAGTGAATGGTTAGTGAATAATATACTTGTTCTAGGTCAGTGACTCAATGAAAGTATTGAAGTGACTGGATCAGCATGACAGCCAGAGTGCTAGTGTTTCAGAAGAAGTTGGCACTGACAGGCTATATAAGTCTTATAATATAGTTTTGCTTTATTCAATTTCTAATTATAATGCATACAATTCAGTTATTTATTTATTATAGGCATTTACTGTATATTGCCCTGACAATTTATACAGCACTGTACATCAATTCCTGTCCTTAAGCAGCTTACAATCTGAGGTCCCTATCTCACATGCATACCTACCAGGGCCAGTTTAGGCAACTGTCAATCAACTTGTCAGCATTATTTAGAGTGTGCGAGGACACCGATGCAAACTCCAAGCAGATAGTGTCTTGATTAGGATTCATACCAAGGACCCAAGTGCTGCAAGGCATAAGTATTAACCATTAAAGCCCAACTCCAGGCTTAATTTTTTCCCCCATGCAGTCGGGCTGTACCACACTGCATGGGTCAACTGCTCATTTTTTTCTAGGGGTGAACACAAAGTTTATACTCATCTGATCCTTCGATCCTCCAGAAAACTGTGCTCACCCACTGTTCAGCAGTGGACTGTTCCTGCGTTCTATGGGCCTGATGAAGTCAGGAACAGTCCATTTTCAAGACTGCTAGAGCATGGGGGTGCCAGATCAGAGGATCAGGTAAGTATATCTCCACTGTCCTCTCCCCTAGAATAAATGGAGCAATTAACCTGTGCAGTGCAGGCACAGCCCCACTGCATGGGACAAAAAAATGTTTTGCCTGCAATTCAGCTTTAAGTTTCTGTCAGTAACTGCCAGTGTACTTACCTGTCAAAATGCTACTGTATTATTTATATTATACCAGCAAAAAAATACTTATGTCACCATTTAAATCAGTGTTGTATGCACTTATTAATATGATTTTTAGTAAAAGTAAAATGTTAACTTATGCCATGATCCCTGAAAACAAAAAATGCAAACAAGAAGTTGCTAATGTAAAAAATAAATATGACTACTGCTGTAAAGCTAGGTTTACATGTGCAGTTGATGCGTTTTTTCACATGTTTTTTATGCATTTTTATGCCGCCTAAATGTTTTTTGTGGGAGAAGACAAAATCTTACCAAAAACGCATCCAAAACACAGGTACATACATTTTCATGCGGTTCCTTTGACTTCTATGAAGCCAAATATGTGCCGTTCTGATTGTAAAAAAGTCCTCGCACCTTTTCAAAAAGCACATTGCAGGAAACTGCAAAGATGTTAACAAGACCCATAGGAAATAATGCTAAATTGAATGTAGTGTATTTCTGCAGATCTATCTAAACCTAGCCTAAAAGAAAAGCGTGTATACCAACCTTTCCCCCTGCACGCACCGCTGAGTGCAGTTCCATTCAGTACAAATGATCCCCCCAAAGTTTGCTGGGAAACCAAAATTCTCGTGGTGTTGACCTCCTGGGTCCCCTGCATTTCTCACTGGTTCCTTCTGCTGACCTTATTTTGACTTTAATTCAGGACACAGATATTTGAATGGAAAGGGGTGAGTATTGCAGGAGCTGGCAATGGCGAGTATACGTTCTCCTCTGAGAATGTGAGACAGTGAGGAAAATCTCCTCTATGATATTTGTCACTGAAGTGATTATCCTCATTGAAATATTTCTCCTCCATTCCTGTTCTGGTGACAACTTAAAATTCATGTTTTTCTCTTGATTTTGATCTTGGAGACATTGGGCTTCCAATAGGAAGCTAAAGTTACCTAGGTAAGATAGTTTAGGAGTAGCCCCTAAAGGAGAGACTAAGTGGGCACATGTGTCACCCGAGAGGAAGTTAAATATTTGCTTTGTTGGATGAGTCCTCTTATACCACTGTGAAGAAGTTTCTGTTTAAGGCTGCATACACCTAAGCAGAGTGATTTTTAGGCATTTTAAACTGAATATTTCTGAGCACATATATGAGCATCCTATAAGCGTATTTCAAGCATTTTACATTTTACCCCAAAGCACCGACCCCATGTTAAAGGCATGGTATGGTTCAGGAAGGGGGGAGGGTTCCCCTTAAAATCTATACTAGAGCTGAAGGATGTGGTATGTATTGGGGGGGGGAACCCCACACTGTTTTTTTCTAAAATTTGTGTTGCCAGCAATTGTTTTGTTTACATTCAGCTGTCAGCGGGGAACCCTGCTTACAACTGATGACTCATTCATTGTTCAGGAGGTGGCAGCCGGTTTCCCGGCCCTCTCATTGACAACCAGCAGACTGTCAAGGACTTGGGCAGCCATCGCTCATTAAAAATACTAAACACTTTTATAAAAATGCCCTAAACATTGCAAAAACTGCTAATATTAGATTCGTTTTTTATCCAGCATTTTTATGAGCGGTTTTGGAGCTGCTAGTGTGTATGGAGCCAAATAACCCAGCCCATAGAGTTTGCTGGCTTGTCTTGGAGGAAGGAACTCCTCTCTAGAGACTGTGCATATGTGTTTTGAGAATTTTAGTGTGACAAGTTGAGGTCTCCAACCATTTGTAAGTCAAAAGAGCTGTGAAGTCACTGGGAGTGTGACTGCCAGTCCTGACCTTATGGGAAAGGGGACCTTCCGCTTGGTTCCATACAGGTCCATATGAATGCATGCAAACACCTTCGTACACTAGCCATAAACTACGTCTCTACTAGAGTATACCAGTTGTACAAAACATCTTCTGCATAAACATCTATCAAATTTCCATGTCATATACTGTAATCAATATATACCTTTTAACACCTTTAATGACAAAGACTTTGTTGGAATGCTGCTTCTCCAGTTTGCTCATCACATCATATAGGTCATGATTTAGCTGCAGGTAAGATTATATGATCAGTGTACTGAGTAAAAGCACTAATAATTTATTTTCTAACACTGCAAAATGCTTTGATGGACAACAAACCATATCAACCAGTCACAGACACTCTTTGTAAAGCCCATTTTCACCTTCACTTTCTGTTTTGGTCAGCTAGGCTGAACTTTACTGGCAACACCTTCCTCTTCCTATCAGTTTCTGCAATGTCTTATTGCAGCTCTTATCTAGCCTTTTTCAAAATTTTCTTAGTTTTGAATATAATGTGGAAGTGTTAGAATTATCATCATCTCTGTGCCAGCTGTGACATTTCCACTCATTTTCTATGTTAGAACTATTATCATCATCTCTGTGCCAACTGTGACATTTCCACACATTTTCTATGTTAGTACCAGGGGTGGACTGACAACTCATGGGACCCCCAGGCAGTAGGGGATCATGGGGCCCCTGTTTCCTTGCCCAAACTCAAAAAAGCCTATGAAAAAGGTACCAGGGGCATTTCATGGGGCCCCCTACTGATCCCGGGCCCTCAGGCAGTGCCCGAGTTTCCAAATGGTCAGTACGCCCCTGGTTAGTACTAATATCATCATCTCTGTGCCCACTGTGACATTTCCACACATTTTTAATGTTAGAATTATTATCATCATCTCTGTGCCCACTGTGACATTTCCACACATTTTCTATGTTAGAATTATTATCATCATCTCTGTGCTCACTGTGACATTTCCACACACATTTTCTATGTTAGAACTATTATCATCATCTCTGTGCCCACTGTGAAATTTCCCTACATTTTCTATGTTAGAATTATTATCATCATCTCTGTGCCCACTGTGACATTTCCACACATTTTCAATGTTAGAATTATTATCATCATCTCTGTGCCCACTGTGACATTTCCACACATTTTCTATGTTATGTTAGAATTATTATCATCATCTCTGTGCCCACTGTGACATTTCCACACATTTTCTATGTTAGAATTATTATCATCATCTCTGTGCCCACTGTGACATTTCCACTCATTTTCTATATTAAAACTATTATCATCATCTCTGTGCCCACTGTGAAATTTCCCTACATTTTCTATGTTAGAACTATTATCATCATCTCTGTACCCATTGTGAAATTTCCACAATTTTCTATTTCTTACCATTGTAACAGCGTGATGGCAAATCAAAACCTTTATAGTTATCACTGCAACTGGAATAAAGGGAAAATCTATTCCTATTGCTCTCAAGGACTCCAAAACCTTGGAGAGATTTTTAAGGACTTTATGTTGTGTCTCTGAGATAGGAAATGAGGAGAAAGTTCCCCACAGGACCTAGATGGGGGAGAAAACTAACAGGGGTTTTAACCATCAGGGGTTTTTCCTACTCTAAATAAAATGAAAACAGGTTGGGCTTTATATATAGTTTATGTTAATTAAAAAAAAAAAAAAAAAGGTTACCTGCAAGGCAAGCAATTATGGCAGTAGATAAAGAACATGAAGAGTTTGAGACACTACGTATGATGTTCCCAATGCTATTGGGTCTAGCTAGAGTTTGGCAGATATTTGTGCTTATAATTGCTTTTATACATTAACATAAAACTATTCAGTACCACACAGTGCTCTGGATTCAGATACAGAAATCTCTAAAATCAATACCTTACTCATCTCCTTATAGAAGACATCCCTTAAGTTAGATATGTTCTGGAAAATGGTCACATAGCATCCAATTCGACTGCAATAAAACCAAAAGAAAAGAGGCATTAAAACAGAACTATGTTCTACCAGAAATATGTGCAGCTCTATAAGACTATCTGAACACACAGTTTCTCTTAGTCCCCCTGGAAAGTCACACAAATACCTGTAAAGCCACTTAATGCAGTGTTCTGTAATGGGGTGGCAATGAAGCTGCACCCTATGCAGGACTCCGAGTAGCATTGTTGCTCTCATGCTTGCTGTACAGTGGGATGGAAACATGTTGTAGGGGGTGTAGCTATCAGTACTGTCACTGTTTACTCACAAGCCTGTAGTTTGTCAATCAGCAACTGTCCATGCCTAACCCCATACCTCCCAATTTTCTGAGAGGGGAACAAGGGACACCTCATAGCAAAAGTATGTAGACATAGGACACACCTCCTGCCACACCCTTAAAAGAATCATATAAAAAAAAGATTAGTTAAATCCACAAGTGTTTTTTTTACCACTACTATTCCTTTATAGTAGCTTTTGAAATGTACAAATGTAACAATTTAGAATTTGAGTGAAAGGTTTAGCACTGGGAAACACTTTTTGAAAGAAAAGTAGTGTATTTTATTTACAACTATATAGATCAGACCAAAATGAGGGACAAATGAGGAGGAAAGAGGGGCAGAGGGACTTTGTTCCAAATCAAGGACAGTCCCTCAAAATCAGGGACAGTTGGGAGCTATGTAACCCCGCTTTCTGAATTGAAAACACTGTTGTTGCTAAAACCATCCCACAGTAAGCTGCAGTGTCTGGAAGGGGGAGCACGTGAGATACAAATAAAGGAGGATTTGGCTCAATCGGGGAAGGCTAAGTTTTTTTTCTCTTAAAATTATGAGGCTTATGCATCACATAGTGACTGGATCTGCTACCAGTTTAGACAGTCATACAGAAGCCTTTAGTTGTTTAACTGCTTCGCGTCCGCCATATAGCAGAAATATTGCTACAGGGCGGCACGGGTTCGCAAAGTCACGTATATATACGTGATTTTGCATTTCCGGGTAGGGGGCATGCACAGCACAGCCATCCAAAGCAGTGTGCTTATAGGAAGCACACTGACATGGCCTCCTATGTAAAACACTCCCTGCACACAGTTAACCCTTTGATCATATTAACCCCTTCCGCCCAGTTCTATTAGTAGTGTCAGTGCTCTTTTTAGCACTGATCACTGTATTGATGTCAGCGACATCAAGTCAGTTCCCCCCAGTAACAAATTGTCCGCCGCAGTCCCACTATAAATTGCTGATCGCTGCCATTACTAGTAAAAAAAAAATCCATTATCTATAGCACCATTTGCAAGTGCTATAACTTTCACGTAAACCAATTCATTTACACGTATTGGGATTTTTTTTTTAGCAAAGACATGTAACAGAATACATTTTGGCCTACATTCATGATGAAATTTGGTTTTTAAAATTTTTATACTGGACATGTTTAATAGCAAAAAGTCAAAAATATTGTTTTTTTCTCAACATTGTCGGTCATTTTTTTTTTTAATAGCTCAAAAAATTAAAAACGAACAGTTGAGAAATTACTACCGAAAGAAAGCTCAATTTGTAGGAAAAAGGACGTAAATTTCATTTGGGTGCAGCGTTGCATGACCACACAATTGTCAGTTAAAATAACTCAGCGCTGTAAAATGGCCTGGTCAGGAAGGGGGGTAAATCCTCAGGAGGGCAAGTGGTTAAATATGAACATATGGATATATACTGTAACCAATAGCAAATAATCAGTTTAAACCTAATGCACAGAAACTTTTATATTGTGCTCTTAGTCACAGTGGTTCCTGTCATTTAGAATTGACTGGTGTTTATATTACAATGAGCAAAGTGTCAAAACTGCAGGGTTTTTATGTACAGTTGTGGTTCATAGATGATGACATGATAGATGATTTAAAAAAAACATAATTTGTATACATTTATGTATCATTATTCAAGTATGTGATTAAATAAATGACAATAATTATTAAAGTATGCCCAGCTT